TCAGTGACCTTTGATGTGTATCACCAGTGATCAGTCAAGTAGAAACAGTCAAAATATTTTATCAGATTTTCTCAATTTTTGCATGATATTTTCATACAGGACATCTGTTGTTCAAACTCAGGGAAGACTTTATACTGATGAATAAGGTGACCAAGTTTGATAAAGTTTGGAATAGAATTAGTAAAGTTATTATGCACACAATAACAATTATTAACGACGACGACAACAACAACGACGGACAAAAATTTTCCCTTAATATACCTTTCCCTTCCATCTTTGATGGTACGGGCAAGGTAAAAAGAAGAATACTTTATGCAACTGCTTATAACATTTTGACAGATGTGAATTTTAAGTAATGATTGACAGGCTACAATTACAATATGCAATTATGCATCTTATTAGGACACTCAATAATTTTTAGTATTTTTAGGCATATTTTAATAAATCTCTTATTACTTAAACAGTATCATAAAATTAAAACACATACTTGAAAAAACTCAAAGTTCTTTATAATACCGCTGTAAATTATAAAACATTGCTGTTAATTTGTTGGATGAAAACTCAAAAATGGACATTAAATAAGTTCTGATATAATATTTTGTAATTTCTGTCCGACAGTTATTTGAGCTAGGCTTCACCACCAATGCAAAATCCTATCATGCACTACAATTTATATTGAGTTCTGCCAAAAATCCAGCGTACATGTCAGGAAATAAAATGATTGCTATAATGTTGGGAAGTTGAAGAATACCAGCTAAAGATAATTGGTAAACTACTCGTATTGAATAATCCAAATAAAGATTACAATCTACATTGTGAAGGCAGCATCAAGTTTAGGAAAATATTGATTACAAATTTGCAAGCAAAATATTTTTTGAACAAAAACACCAAAAACAAAGATTGCACATTCACTGGTCAATATCAATGTAAATAATAAGTGGTGGTGGCAATAAGAAATATATCACTCTAGACGTAATTATGCATTGTATGCAGCACTACAAGGAGGAATTGTTGGCACATCAGTATCACAGATCATTTGGCAAAACAAAATTTAAAACATTGACAATCATGAATCCAGATTAATCTTAATGGATATAGCTGTCGCTGTGTTAAAAGGAAGTTGTTTGACTAGCATTGCTGGAATAGCTAGTGTAAGATTCCCTTTGTAAAAAGCAGGGCATTAATACTAATACCAAATTGCATGATCTTGGACAACTACCAACTACCAAAGATTGTCTACTTCCAAAGGCTAATCCTATTTCCATTATTAAAACATCCTAATCAGAATACTTGACATTTCCTAAACAGATCCAACTCAATCCATCCCTGCCATTTCCTAAACCGACCCAACTCAATCCATCCCTGCCATTTCCTAAACCGACCCAACTCAATCCATCCCTGCCATTTCCTAAACCGACCCAACTCAATCCATCCCTGCCATTTCCTAAACCGACCCAACTCAATTCATCCCTGCCATTTTCTAAACAGACCCAACTCAATCCATCAATGCCATTTCGTAAACAGACCCAACTCGATCCATCCCTGCCATTTCCTAAACAGACCCAACTCAATCTATCCCTGCCATTTCCTAAACAGACCCAACTCAATCCATCCCTGCCATTTCCTAAACAGACCCAACTCAATCCATCCCTGCCATTTCCTAAACAGACCCAACTCAATCCATCCCTGCCATTTCGTAAACAGACCCAACTCAATTAAGCCATTCTCTGCCATTTCCTAAACAGACCCAACTCAATTAAGCCATCCTGTGACATTTCCTAAACCGACCCAACCAATTCCTACCCACCTTGCTGAACGGTTGCATCCCAATTTACCCACCATCCTAGATGGTCCCAACCCAATTTTCCCGCAATTCTAGATGGTTCCAACCCAATTTACCCACCCATCCTAAATGGTTCCAACCCAATTTACCCACCATCATTGAGTCCCAACCCAAATTACCCACCATGCACCTAGATGGTTCAACCCCAATTTAACCATCCTGCAAAACAGACCAGTTTACCCACCCACTTTACCTATAAAGTACTGTCACAAACCAATTTACCCACTGCTCAAAAAACGTTCCAAACCAATTTACCCATGTCATAAGCAGTTCTAACCCAATTTACCGACTATTCAAGACTGTCCAAACCAAATTTACCCACCCACCCACAACCCCAAACCAATCCCCCCCCCCAATTATAGTCAGTCCCAACCCGATTCACCCCCCCCTCCCCCCCAGCTGGACAGTGCTGTCACAAACCTTGACATCGCAGTCACAACACAAACACCTCCTATACAGTACTGTCCCAACCATTATAGTCATACCCAATTAACCAACCCCTTCTGATGATCACAACCGAAATTACTCTCCCTCTTTGACAGCAAATTTCAAATTTAAACCCCTACATGACTAACAAAGTCTCCCAAACCCATTCATTGATCTATTTTACAATGAAAAGCTACAACAAACATTAAAATGGAGAAAAGCCTAATATAAACCCAATGACACCACTGACAAGCTAGTCAAAACATTTATAATCAAACAGTACAATATGTAGTCAACATTTTGTACTTAGCAGTCACATTTGTGACAGGGAGAGATTTTTTTTTACATGTGACTTGCTTGCTGTAAAATACATATATTTTCACTGAAGGAAAAACAATGTGGTATGTTGTGCATCATTTTCATTGATATCATACAAACAATGATCTGTTTTACATACCAGATTTCATTTCTGAAGTGAAGTTACAGTAAGTGCCTCACAATGGTTACACAAGTATTTACATATTTACAACACAAATCTCTGTACATATCCACACAGACCTCTATCAGTACTGTACACCATAGTTTTAAAAATCGAAAATAGGCGACGGCCACCTTGGCTTAAAAAATATATTTCTTTGCATCTTCTGTAGCACTATTTTGCAGATAGATTAACTAAGAGAAATTATTCTCTGGGTTCCAGCATGACCAAAAAAACGTGTAACCAATTTAGAGTTCAACTGATATAAACATAAGGCAAGAAAATTTATGAAAAAGATTGCAAAGATTTTAAAAAACTATTGCTAAATTAAAAACACCCTCATCAAATACAACATCCACGTTAAAATCCCTCATAAAAATAAATCCCTTTCTAATTTTAAAAATCATGATAAATATACTATCTATAGCTCTGCCCTACCACACAACTAAGCTTTTTCCATTCACATATTAATTTAAGAATGAGTTTTTCAAACTCAACAAAACTAAAGTTGACTGTTTTTACCTTATATCATGTAAGCACACACAAATGTTTTTTTTTTTAAAAAATTATTTAAGGATTTGACTTGTAAAACTTGTTTTATGCAGGTCAAATATCAGTGTGCTTAACACAAAAATCAAGTGATCATTAGGTCACAAAATTGCTGCTTTGCTAAACGTTGTGACAAATGGTCTATAATAGGAAATGAAAAATCAGGAAACCTTTCCCTTATATTTACAACCATGCAAATATCTCTATAGCAAGTAGTGTATCGTAACAATGACAATTGATACACATCATAGAAATAAGTAACCATGACAGCAGACTATTTACAATGAAGTGACTTTTAAAAAAAATTCTGTAATTTTCAATTTAGAATTAAATCTTGAATTTTCTTAAATGTTTTGTTTTCATCATTAAAAAAATGTAAATTTTCAACAAAGATGGCAACATTTTTGGATCAGGAGTCCATTAAATGGCACCCCATGCATGCAACATAAAATAGGGTCTAAACCATCAAAACAACCATTGCTTCAATTTGAATTTGGGATTAATCAATCTTAACTAATTTTGATTTAATTGCCTGCTTAAACCTCCATTGAGAGTCAAAGTGATTGGTATATAACATCAACAGACAATGTGTTAAGGTCTAAAAGTCTACATGTGAAGAATACTGTAATTATGTTAATCTATCACAACATGCTAGGAACACACTGGTCTTACTGAACATATGGCATGATTACCCCACCGCATTCCCTCTCTCCATCCAGGAAATATAACCTGTCATCTAATTAATATTTTCCAAAACATGGCAAGATATTCACACAGAGGCTGTGTCTGATATTATCTTGCGAATTGAAATGTTTTCATAGTTTCTTGTTAATTAAAAGGGCTTATTTTCGTTTCATTTATTAAGTCTATAGTTTATAGAAACAAGACTAGAATCAGTGACATGTGTATGACAACGTTGGTCCCAACAGGCACCAAGGCTAATTTGCATATGTAGATGGTTGATCCTTGGAAATTGTACCATGGCATTATGAACAGTTATTGGGAGAACACTGCATTCCAGTGTGTGTGAACAGAGTTGATCAAGACTGGGAAAATAAGCCTCTCTGATAGCAAAGTTCCTGAAACAAATTTATCCAATGGTCGAAATTAAGTGTATCCAAAGATATTCAGCTTCCATTCAATGATGGTAAACTGTATTGCACAGTACAAGGCGCAATATTTAGGGCAAGTCACAGGGCTTGAACAGTATTGTGAGGTGCCCATTTCAATTGTCTTTGCATATTGGAATAATATCAAAGGGCACCAAGCCCTGGAGTCAAAATGCGCAAACAAATACTATTATTATTAAGAATACTACAAAATTCTTGAAAATGTTTCTTTCAGAGTACTGCAACATTGCAACATACACTGGATATTACACTGCTATACTTTGTCAAGCAGTATGTAAAATTTACCACAGAATGGTGATACATACTGAATAGCAAACTCTGAGAAGACTTTCTTTGGTATACCAACATCACAGAGGTACACTGTTCCTACATTGGATGTGATTGATAGAGGTAGGCCTACAGCTAAGGTAAATCTGGTCTCTATTTGTTGTACGCAAGGTGGATCAAGACTCAGCACTGGTGCTTTGTTGTTGTTTGCCCACTCTGTCACATCTTTATACCACTGTTGATCACTCAAAAACGATTTTTCCTGACAATCTAAAGCGTTGATGATCAGGTCAACTGTACAATTGGATAAGTCTGCAAATTGAAAATGACAAGCTTTATCATCAAGATCTGTGCAACATGACAGGAACCATAGGTTTCTCAACTCTAAACAAAACCAATACAATGTGATGCAATAAAGTACCAGAATATCACCAATCTCTGAGTAGATACACAACATTGTGGTTTGAATTTACGTCCAAGCAATAGAGTCACTCAAGACATTTACACTCAATTTATATATTTGCATATCATCACAAGACTTTTTTCTAAAAAGTGGTGGTTCAAGTAATCTAGATAAATGTATCTGAATTTATTTTCCCTTGTTGTCAGAATATTTGTTGCAGGACACATCCAGGCAAAATTATTTTGGACCTTTCGCTCAGTGCTATACCTACCTTTTATGCAAGATATCATACTTCCTTCAGTGAGCTTGTATATTTCAACTTCCGTCATCAGACATTCCATCATTTTAACAAAACTTGGCAGGAAAACAATAACATCCACTCCTTGATTTGCTAGATGTCTGGCACAATTCACTCCCTGAGCCCCTTGTAAATGAGGTCCACATAACACAACAATTGTTGGTCTCTGGTGCACATTTTCAAGGCTTAGCCTGGGGAAAGCAACCAATAATAGATTACATGTAATTACACATCTTACAATGAGGGGATGAGCTTTGCCATGCTATATTCACACTAGTCTACAAGTTTTTAGTAAAATGTAGATCTTTGCAAAAAACAACTTAATTAGAGCCTACAGAATATTGAATGAAAATATTTCAAATGTCCAAAGACTTCAGTAATTACTTTTTAACTTTATTTAGTGAATTCAGAAAAAATGTCCGGTTTTCATCAGACATAACATAGCAGTGTTATTGCTTTATAGGTTTTAGTAGATAAGACAGTTTACATGTATTCTGTACAATGATATATGATGGCTGATATGTGACTTTTGCTTTTAGTGTCAACTACACTGTATTGCACAGAAATACAAGGGAAACCAAATTCAGGACTAAACAAGCTTTGTAATCAGATTCCGGAAGAATACATTGTTGTGATATATACAGTTAACTGGCACTAGATTTAATACCTGCTTGCACCACCAAGATTTGCCACTGCAACCTGACTTGCAGCTAGACCTACTAGCTCTGTCCTTTTCTCACAGCTCAGGCCACACTTTTCTGCAGCTGAGAATATTCGCGATCTCAAATCACTGGCTATAACAGGAATATGTGATCCATTGGCTGTCAAAACAAAACAGGTGCCATAAAATTACAAAAAAATTAATATAAATTTCATCCTGATTATATTAGTACAGTAGATTGTACAGGAAGTCAGAACTTGATAGCCTAACATGAACATTTAGCTTTTACCCAGAATTGGTGCAAGATGCTGAATTGTTAGATTTACGGACATCGAGTTATGAAAACATCAAGTTACAAAAATGATCACGCTCATATTTCATAAACCATGTCCACTTTTGTGATAGTCAAAATTGTAACTCGATGTCCAATTAAAAATTAACAGAACAGTCATTCGTCTATGGCAGAGGTATTACAGGGATGGAAGTAATTATTTGAGTTGATAAACAACGCACAAATATACGTAACATCCAGGTACTTTTAAAGACACTGACATGTTATCGTCTGATTATTTAAGGTTTGATTGAGAAAGCGTGTTTGTGTAGTGTTTCTGATTGGTCTGTTATGAGTATAGTGCTCGCGAAATAATTACAGTCTCTGGGGAAACACTGGTTTCTAGACAAAAAAACCACAAGTTTTCTGGAATTCGTGTTAGAACCCTACGCATTCGAGCCTGAATACCATAGGGTCTGGTTTTGGCGTCACTCTAATTTAGGAGAACAGTGAAAGGCCTTAATTTGGTATTAAAATAGGGGTCACGAAAAAAAATCTCAAGATGACTAGTTTCACAAGTGAACAAGTCATTGTCAATGACACGTCCCCGTTCCGTTCATATTTGAGTGACATATACATTCAAAGCAGATCATGACCGAAATGCACCTGCATATGTACAACACATTGTGCTAAATCTGAACAAAATCCATCCATGCATGACTGAGATCCGGTTCTGGAATTGTGAAAATACGTGATTTTGATGCATTTTCGGCCTTAAAATGGCCATCATTCCGCTATTGTTAAGCAGATCATGAAACAAATGCACATATCTATTTGTGACATGATGTACCATGTGTGTGTGAAGTTTGAACTTGATCAATCCAGACATGTCTTGGATACGAATCCAGAACTGAATTCTTTAACAAAATGGCCGCCAGTCGGCCATTTCGAACTTGATCCGAAAAAAAAAAAGACGTGCAT